ATGTGCTTTCCCTGTGTCAGTCCAGTTCTTCATTTTCAACTTTGCAGCACAGCGTTTTCCTGCAGTATTTTCCAACTAGCCCCCACACAAGCTTTTCTGAATAAATTGCTAACTGTTTAGTAATATAGTAATGAAGAGTTATTTTTCAGAATTTGCTTAATATTCCATTTATGACATCAGAACACATTGTAATTGGGTGCAGTTTGGTTCTCAATGCAGGTTATTTCATTAAACACCACATGATCATCATAAACATTATAATTTACATGGGCATTGCAATTTTTTTAGCAGTGTCAATAATACACGTATACTCAGAATAATAACGGTTCTGAAGTACTGCCCTTTAGGGTCTATAAAGTCATCAGTAGAGGCCAGATATATAGGCACCGAAAAATTGGGTGTTAGGTGCCAAAATTAGGCAGACGAAACACAGTTTTAGTCCCCCTAGACCGTGAATAGCACAATAAACTTTTACAAAAACTAAAATTTTTGCAAAATGAAGTACGTGCTAGACTTGTGTCTACGACAGGAAATAAGAAATATATATATATTAGTTTATGATGGTATAAAGGTGCAAGCAGTTTAGCATAGCCATGCAAATTTCTCCCGCAGGGTTTGTTGAACACAGTCTCTCCTTTTATTGTCCATCATGGTGCGCTAACCCTCCAGGGTCGAATAAACACGCTGCTGGGTCTCTTTCCTTTCGGCATCGTTGAGAAGGGCCGCACAGGAGCAAGTAGCAGAGACCGCTAATAAGCCAGAAGGATATTTTAGCCTCGTATTAACCGAGTCTAAGCGCCCAGGGTTAGTTTCTTCTCTGTCTGTGAACACCTTGAAGGAAACCTCACCAGGTTTGAGGATTTCTAGCAGGCAAGAGAAATGCATGCACTGGGCACTTATAATCTTGGACCAAAATATGCGATGCTACCTGCCCTGTAAAGAGAAGAAGTGTCAGACTGAACGCCGCTTGCCCTTCAGCTCACGGGCACGCACCCAACATGAAGAAGCTTGCGACAACAGGGAATGGTCGTACATACGTCAAAGTAGCTAATTTATGCAATCTGTTGCGCGAAGGTTGATAGAAATATTGGAACATATAAATGGAATCTACAGGCATTATTTATTTCATTTACTTCGTGTTGAGCGGGATGCAAGACTAAGCTGCGTCCATTTCGTTTGCATTGGCGTTCTCGCATTGTGCTGGTGCCAGCCCTGACATTGCTTGGAGTGTTTTTTACGCAGCGTCCTTTAGAGTAGTTCCAGTGATGTGACGCTGTGTATCGTAGTAAAGATACAGGATCCATGCCAGCCTCTCTAAGTGTGCACGCATAGAGGGATCTATCCCACAAGAACAGGCTGTATGACACAGAGAACTTTGAAATGACACAACATTCCTTGCGTGCAGTACCTGGCTTGTGCATATCATGCAAATGTAAGTCTGTGTGGGCATGATGTGTTGATGCACGGTGTAGTGCGAAGTTCTCTGAGTTACTCCAACACCGAAAGACAGAGAAGGAATTTGGCTTGTGAAGCCTACAAAGTGCGAGTGTGGCAAAGCTTTCAAGGTCACCTTCTTGCATCATGCTTTTGCGGCTTGTAATAAACCAATTCAAAGATTCTTGTGATACAAAGCTTTTCATTGGGCACGCAACAACTTCCAGTGTCTAACTGGAATTGCTCATGTAACCAGGTGAAGCGCCCTGGAAGTAGTAAAAGACAAACAAAACAAATACCATGTAGATTCTGATTTCTTTTTCTTCTTTTAGGGGAGGGGGGGAGCTACACTTTATTTTCGCCTGATGACACTCCACGGTTTCACATTCATTGCCAATTGTCTTGCGGCGGCACAGTAGTACCTCCTGTTCCCTACGCGTGCGAGCAGACAATGGGGAGACGGTGAAGAGGAGACGCGACAAGGATGAATACGTGCGTAGAGGGTAACTGGCCTTCCTATTGGCTAAGAGGTCTTGTAGCCTTGACAGCACTTAGAGTAACTTGTGGAATGGAGCATTGGTCGCACCCCACAGAGTTCACAAAGCTGAGTTTTTCCCTGTAACACCGGTCCCCAACTGTACACGCAAGCAAATTTTGAGGATTAATAGTTTTCATATAGGCAACTATTTTGAATTTAGGCATGTATAGGCACTTATTGAAATTTAGGCACAAATGTCTAAAATAGGCACTTATGGGCACCATAAAAACACTATGAAAACCTTTCTTAATTAACCTCCAATTTATGCTCATATATCAAAGCAGTTCAATAAGAACACAAAGAACAAAATAGGCATTTGCCTAGAATGCAGTTTCTAGTCATGAGAAGTTCACCAAAAAAAATATTATCAAATTCAGCAGAACACTTCTGTTACTTATTTTATGAACACTTATAGTTTGCCCCAATTCGTCATTAACATAGTTCTCTTATTAATGGAATTTGCTTAAGAGGCCACGCAACACTTTTTCAGCATGGTCTGAAAATGCTGCTTATCAGTAGTGGGGCTGAAAATACGCGAGTCAAACATCGTGGCATAGCACGCATTGTGGAATTTTGAATCACAGTTGAGCCCCTTTATAAAAGACTCATCGGGGAGCAATTTTTGTCTTTTATATGAGGTCTCTCTTATAGGCAAGGCACCACGTATGCTCATTTTCTTATCATCATCAGCCTGACTACACCCACTGCAGGGCAAAGGCCTCTCTCGTGTTACGCCATTCTACTCGGTCCTGTGCTTGCTGCTGTCCCTTTATACACGCAAACTTCTTAATCTTATCTGCCCACCTAGCTTTTTGTCTACCCCTAACCTGCTTGCCTTCTCTGGGAATCCAGTCAGGTACCCTTAATGACCAGTGGTCATTAAGGGTAACTGATAGCCCATGGACATGGGCTAGCACATAGCCCATGGACATGGGCTATGTGCCAGGCCCATGTCCATTTCTTCTTCTTGATTTCAACTATGATATCCTTAACCCCGGTTTGTTTCCTGGCCCACTCTGCTTTCTTCTTGTCTTTTATGGTTACACCTATCATTTTCCTTTCCAATGCTCACTGCGTTAACCTCAATTCAAGCTGAACCCTCTTTTCTTATCAATGCCTGTTTAAATGTAGGCACACTGGTGTCTCTCACACCTATTTGTCTCTTACATCACTGTCGTTTGTAAAAGGGTTCTACTGTAACTCTCAAAGTCAGCTGGAAATCATTTTCTCTTTCCTCTACAAATAAAGACAAATGCCCCCAGGTGACCGTGGGATATACCCAAATACACAGCTATTAGCATTGTGAGCTTGGTAGTTACGACGGTGGCCGCAGGAGGCCACTACGTGCCTGTGCGCTCACTCACAATCACACTAAAAGTAAGCCGCATGTTCAAAGAAAGAACAGTGCTTATAGCCATGATGTGCACATTTGGTAACTTCTTTCCCCCGTGCCATATCTTCCTGCTTAGCTCTGTATGCATTTGTTGTGATGAGAGAAAGCAGTGGCAGTATACGACAAATCTGCACTCTTACTTGACATATTGTAACATTTTTGCAGTGGTTGGTGAATAAGTAAACTCCTTCAATGAAGCCATTCGATGATTATTTGTAAGAGTATTACAGCGTCTCCTTAATCTGGTATATTATGGTATAAAAAATTCTTATCTTGTGTTGCAATAATACTCTGTGTCTTCGGCACTGTCTTTAACTTTATAGGCTGTCATCATGCATACTGTACTCATTGGCATTGCTTGCCACTCGGGTTTACTTTGTTTTCTAAATTCTTTGCCAAACCTAAAATTTCCAAATATTACTGACTTCACACTTCCTTTGACCTACTGCGATTTTCTGCCAGGGTCCCAATGCCAAAGTTCTTTGAACAAAATTTTGTGGCAGTGTGCAAGGCTGGCTTTATGAAATTATGGAGGTGCTGTTCGGAGCAGGAACAGCACTTTCTATGGAGATTGCTGCAATTGAAACTGGTGGCCCCCGGCCTCTGCAGCTGTCTGCCACACGCTGGTAGGCAATCTTGGAGGCTTGCATTTGTGCCTTTATTTGGGGCAAATGTTTGCAGGTCTGTGGCATCATATGTCCTTTGGTTGGTCCACACCTGTTGTCATGTTTTAGCCACCAAAAATTATGGCATAAGCCTCGCCGAGGCTGGCGCGCATGTGCAGACTACCTGTGGATGGCAGCCAGGCCTGAGGCCGTTTAAGTTGCTATGAACGTCAGGTTTGCTTCATTTTGTCGCACATAGGCGGCTCTTCGTGCTTGGTGCACTCTGATAATCATGTGAACTGATCGAGTTGCGGCCAATTGTGACGAAATGAGGGAAGAGTTTAATGCCGATAAATGGTTGAAGTGCTTGCAGCAAACAGACAACATGTCCAACAAATCATATTTTTCTCCTTTTTAAAGGTTTAATGGACAATCTTTCAGTATACTGCTAATCCTAGCGTGCGCAGCATAAAAGAAATAAATTTAAACACAGAAAAGCAGCTACTGGTGCTATTATTTTATGCTGCGAAAAAAAAAAGTATATATATATATATATATATATATATATATATATATATATATATATATATATATATATATATATATATATATATATATATATATATATATATATATATATATATATGCGCATGATCTAATCTCTCAATGGATTCTATGACTATTGTTGGAAAAAGATCAGTTGTGCTTAGAATACCTCACAAACAGTAAGATTAACAAAGCAAGGTAAAATGTACAATTGTATGTTTATGCCTTCAAGAAATCTCTAGTTGCATGTTATTAGAATGTTTTGTTGCCTATGCCCGTATACTGCAAAGGCAGCCGTGACAGGAAAAGACAGTGCCTGGTTGTTGAGCCTTCCGAAATGAGCGCCACTGGCTTAATGCATACTTGGCCCCTTGTCAAACGTGTGTTTTGGATATTGTGATCTCGTCATCAGTTGCTCATGCTTTGTAGCAGTGTTCATATCCACGTGCTTCCTTGTACCAGCTGGCTTTGCTCTTGCACACAGGCGAATGCCGTAGTCCTTGCCGTGGAGGATGGATCTATTACAGCCAAGGGCGCAGTACAGGGAAACCTAGAAGTGACGTCATGGGGATCGGGGGTAAGGCTGCCATTCTTATGTTATTTATCTATTTAATGCTGCCAGCTTGCTTTACAAGCCATAGGCAGAAGTGGATTGTACAAAGCAAAGTGTTGAACAATCTTTGCCAACAATCTGAAACAAATTTATGGGACAAGTCTGAAATCTGTGCTAAACAGTATTTACAGCATGTGAAACACAGGAAACATTAAAACCTAGTAAACAGGCACAATACTGCAGATGAAAACAGTGTGGCTACAGTGTATCTACAGTGTATCTACAGTGTGGCCAGCTGCACACTGTAGATAAAAATACAGATCACAAAGTGAGGGATGGACATTTTAGAACAAATAAAAATAACAACAAGAGAAAAAAAGTGACGAGAATGTGCTAGACAGTGCATGTTCTTTCAGCAGTTTGCTCAGCAATCAAAAGAAGGGTGTCTTTGTTATAAGTGTTCAATATTGTTAAATGTTTTTATGTGTGTTGATGTTTACATATTTAGGTCACATTTATCGACAAAACATGACCAGATGTGCTTGTAGAATAAGCACATTCGTTTCTTTAGTGCTGCAAGTGTTCCAGGGTTGCAGCATCATATGACAGACGTGGCGGAATGCGAGAACTGTAGATGTCTGCAGCAGCACGTTTTTTTGACGCAGTCTGAAGCATAAGCGCTGAGACTACGGCCCCTTCAGACCAGAGGCAAGATTTGGCAAAGTGAACTTATATAAACTCTTTATTTTGAACATTTTGGGGTCATGAAACAGTTCTCAGAAGACAAAACAAAAATTGCTATTTCAGAGGAGAAATTGCATTTACCCATTTGAGTACATCAGACCCAAGTTTAGCAAAAACCAAGAAAACTATTTTTGTTATGAAGGCAGCTTATATTTAGTGCATTTTATGTGAGTTTTTGCGCTGTATTCATTGCGGCGTATACTATCTGGAACATGCCCTGAAAGATGTCCCTGTATGTCAAATAGGATTTCATTTTCAAAATGCCTCACTACGTTTTGGGGCTGCCGGAGACAATCAAGCCAATTTGAACATGGAGCTTTACTAACTTTTGCAATTCTTGCATTTGCTTGATATTGTGCAAATTGCTGTTTTCACCACCTTGAATTCGTTGAGAACTCTTTTTGCGGCAACATCCAGGCACTTGCAGTCATCAATGAACTCAATCCTTGAATTTATAGCCATTAGGTCTAGAAATAAGACAAATACCCTGATGGTCCCCTTCTTTGTATGAATATTTGTCTTGAATTAGGGCATGTACATGTCTGCAAGATCTACGCCACCTATAATATATATGCTTTGACGCAATGAGGCTGATAGATCTTTTTTTTTCTCCTCCTTTCACCTACACATACACGCATGTGTTGTGTCCCTTTCCAATTCTGTTTTGTTATCTCTCATTCAAGTGGCCAATAAAAAACTGCACTTTTGTCAATGAGGATTACCAGAGTTTTAATAAGCATTGTGGTACAGGAATATGTGTGGCTATGTGGAGGTATGAATGCAGAGTGAGATTACCCAGAGATAGAGGAGCTAAGCGGAGGGCCAGACGCAACTTGGTACTCGAGCTCAGAGGAGAAGAGCATAAACAGAAGAAGAAACAGAAAATTCCGAAGGACTTGACACTGCACGCAATGGCTGCCCCATCTCTGTATCCTTCTTGTAACAATTTGGCCTACTTTGGTTCTTTTGAAATCGAGCCATAGATTTGAACTTGGACCCTCATTACTGTATCATTATCTCCATAATCATCATTATCATCATCACTGCTGATATTTGACCATTCACTGCTGCTCATCCACAAGGTCACTTTCACGAGACAAGTCGATATCACTTTAAAAGAGTAGCTCTTGTACATATTTCCCAATCACTGCCTGTGACACAAAACAAAATTGAATGTATTTTCAATACAACGACCTTAAATACCTAATTGGATACATTTGTTACTAATTTGAGCTATCTCAGAGGCAACTCAAAGCAACTAGTTTGAAATTTTTATGTGCCTTCTCTATCTCATCGTGATCATTTATATTCACTGCATAGCAATATATGTGTAGCATTTTGTTAATTAGGAAATATTTAATTTCACCTGGCTGACTGTGCATGCTTCCCTTGCATGACGTTGCTACACTTCTTTTTACTATGAGCGCTTACAAGGGCATACAATGAAATGTCACAGGTATTTTGTTTAGTGATGCTTTTGCTCACTGAAACATCAAATTTAGTCAAATGGCCTTCAAATATAGGAGCACACTGTGTGTTTTTCCAATGCACCCATTTGGGTATTCACTCATTGAAAAGCATAGTCAGGCCATTCCACTCTTTGGCTTTTCTTGGTACAACGGGGTATAGACAAGAAGTGTGTACCCTGCTTTACAGATAGCTGTTGTGAGAGATACAGTGCACTTGTGTCATGCGTTGTAAATCTGGACACATCAAAAAAACAAAATGTGAGGATAAAACCGAGACCTTGGTACAGTAGTGGCAGGGAGCAATAATTGTGGATTGAAGTTGTTCTTTCGACCCCTTCACTGTCACTAAAGTACTGTTATGTTTTGGCGTTTCCCCTAGTAGTGTCACTGATGGTGCTGGTACCTCCTCCATTATGCACCCTAAAACTTGCAATGAAGCACAAGGCTGACATGTCTCTGCTGATCACATTGTGTGTCCAATCTTTCTAGAAGTTCGTACCCTGCACTGTGTCGGTCCATATATTGAATAGTATAGAAGCGGCATGCTTGTGCTTCCTTGTTGTTTAGTATGGTCATTCCCAACATACTACTTTCTCAAGCTCAGCAATTGTGCTATGCACATGCAATCGCTTATGCAAGGGTGTGTCTACAGGTTCAGGTTAGGGTGCCTCAATGCGAGTGCCCTTTCAGGGTGAGGACAACCCCATCGTCTGCTAGCACTACCACCATTTTGTTGCATTCGTCGATCGCGGGTTGCGGGTTAGCTGCGGGGCACGTCTCGAAGCGATAGCTCCGGCTTCGCAATGGGAATGTTCATTCTACTTTAGCTTGGATATATATTCATTCCTTTGCAAGGGTAGATGATAAGCAAGAACAGATTCAGTGAAGCATCCACTAGCTAGTTCCAGGAGGAATATTAACATGATAGCGTTACAGAGCTCGATTCGCAGAAATTTCGGCATTCGGTGTCAGCGTTGTTGGTTGTGAGCGAAAAATCATCATCTTGCTAGACCCGAAAATCAAGAACAATGCAAGTCGTGGAGCAGAGTGGGGACTGAAGCAGGGTTGTTTGGGTTTGAGTGCGAATTAAACCTGGGTCGTTTGTGTGGTAAGCGGATGTTCTACCACACAGTCACACCCTCTGCTTGTGAATAAAATGAAAAGATTTTTTTCTGCTTGGAAATGCAGTGAAAGTAGCTTTCATACTTCACAAACATATGCATCCTGTATACATGCTTCACAATGCAACATGAAATATTGCAGTAATAATGCGTGGTACAAGCGTTCATTGCCAACTGGTGTCGGAAAACAGTCGAACATCTTTATAAGAGACAAATGGGTATAAGAGATATCGGCGTGCGTACAGTGAAATATGGGTTTATAAGAAAATGCATACGGGGTACCCTGCTTATAAGACACATCTCATATGAAAGACAAGAACTGTGGCCTGGAGCATGCCTCTGATAAAGGGGTTTCCCTGTATGTGATTATCACAATGGCTCCGTGGTTGAAAGCCGATACCCCACTACAAAAGGCACACACATGATACTGCGCCTATTCTCTTAAGGCCACGTAGTGGACGCACAGCGAATTCGAAGAGGTTTCATGCACTAGTGTTTGAAGTACACACTACGAACAGGATGTCGCTCTCGCGTTCAACTCCTAAAGGCGAAGCTTTAGGGTCCCCTAATTTTTATTACTCTTTCAGTTACAATAGTTGACAATGGCAAGCAAGTGCTCCTCGTTCTTGTCGCCCCATCACCGTCAGCTTTCTGTCATTGTGCTTATGTTTCACCATAATGGAAAGTATAAGCGATAGTAGAATAAAGAAGTAAATAACAAAAAAGGAAAATTAGCCAGCCACCCATTTGTGGCACGAAGCCACACAGGAATCCGTGCGGATTTCTCAGAAAGGAAATCTTCTTACTTGGCGAAAAGTTCGTCCTGGTCCAGGGTTTGAACCCGGGACCAACGCCTTTCCAGGGCAGTCGGTCTATCAAGTGAGCAAGCCAGAAAACTAGCAATTGGCAGCGTGAAAGTGAATTCATCAGCAACTTGAAGCACATAGACACAAGTAATCCAAATGAGTTCTACAGCTGTTGGTCCCGGGTTCGCTGAAATGTATAAATCAGTACGCTGAAAACATATAAATGATTTTAATATGACAAAAGGTTATGAAGTACAAGTATAACGCACAACATGCTGTTTTGCACTCTCAGATTTAGCTTTCACGCTATGCACAAACAAGTGTAGGTGTAATGAAGGCCTTTGTGGAAATGAGCGTGATGCGCCCCAGATCGTGCCTCATAGTTGAGAAAGACAGGTCATATTTCCCAGGCCTCTCTCATATTTCATCATGTCAAGTAGGAGTGTGCGAATATTCGAGTTTCTTCCACCAAGCTGCTGACCCAAAAGTCGTAGTTTCGGTTCCGACCACTGCGGTAGCATATCAATGGAGGTGGACTGCGCGATGTCCAACACCATATCGTCACAATTTTCGGAGACCTCCACTATGGCGTCTCATAATATTTTCCCAACGTGGAAATCACAGGAGACAGGATCATGGTGCAACGAGGAAAAACAAGGTCTGTATTCACAGATCGAAAACACAAGCTTAGTGTCGTTTCCTCAGAAGACTTCTTTTCTTCTGTCATCCTGCTGGCTTTTACTCATGACTATATCGTTTTTTTGGGATGTAAAACACAACATACTATTAACATCAAGACTTCAGTGATGTATTTTCATCATGGAAGTGACGAAAAAATACGCATGATCAGAAGACAAAGAAAAAAAGTTCTGTGATCAGAAGTT